CTTCCCAAACACCACCATTTTTGTTTTTTCCACATTCACTTCCAATTTCTTTTTTTGTACGTACTTCTCGAAACTTTTAAATCATTGTTTTCATTTCTTCTCTTTTCTTTGCCACAATCACCAAATCATCTGCGTACGCCAACGACCACACTTTCTCTATATACCGCCCCTCCTGTCTGTGCTTTTCTCAACATTTCATCTATATCTCTTAGTTAAGCTGCAAACAATGCGGGGCTGAGTGGGCATCACTGTTTCACTCCTCTATTTGTATAACAACTCTCGCTCTGTATTCCATTCACTCTCATCTTACTTACTGTTTCTTCAATGGAAGAAATATCCATTTTCGTTACCAGGTACGCAGGAAGTCATTTTCCCTTTCAAGCTCCATCTACCACTTCCCATGTCCAATCTTTCACTCCTTCTGTCCCGAACATCCACGCTTCACTTTGGATTCCATCCCCTCCTGATGTTTTTCCTCTTTTCAGTCTTTCAATCTGTCTTCCTATTTCATCTCCTGTTATTTCAGAACCTCTCCACATTTCTTCCGTCGTTGTGATTCCTTTATTTATTTTGCAGCATTTTTCCTCACAACTTCCAATAATTCCATAATAGTAATTTACACAACTAGTCTATAATTGATTCTCCCCTAGCCCCTACGTACGTCCATTCTCCTTCTTCATTTCCTTCCTTGTTTCCGTTCAAAATTTCCCATCTCATTTCCTCTATTATCTTCCACAAAATTTTCTCTTCTTTGTTATTAATTCTATATATTTTCATTACTCCGTTTTTATTATTACTTCCTTTTTCCAGTTCTTGCATTTCTTTTCGAATTCCCATTGCTATTCCCCCGCTTGCTCTCCCCTTTTTCTATTCCTTTGTCGCCCCTTGACACTCCCACACATATTCTTGTGGTAGTGTCTCTTCAAATTTCTCCCAGTTTTCTTTTTGTACCATCTCTCTAATACCCCACCACATCCCAGGCAACATGATGTCGTCTTTTTCACGTGAATAAATGGTCATCAATTACGTCATAGTGACCAAAGATTTCACGTGATATTGACGTACCAATGATGGTCAAATGTTTCGCCCAGATGACGTCATTTTCTAACGAACTACTGACGTGTTGTACTGACGTCTTAGAGTCGTCATTTTGTAATGAACTATTGACGTGATGTATTGACGTCTTAGAGACAGCATTTATTGTCCATTTTAAGACGTTTTTTATATTTTGATTTTTAGAAAAAAATATGCAATAAATAAAACGCTAAAATAGTTTTATATTTTTATATTGTTTGCCTTAAATAAAATATTATAATTCGTTATAATCACCAGGTAAACCCCAAAACAAAATATATATTAATTAAAATTAAAACAAATTAATGTAAAAAAATTAAATTTACTACAATTCTGTACAACCAACAATGAACTTCAATAAACAAATAAAAAATATATGTCAATTAAACAAATTAAAGATAAACCACTCCTAAGAACACAAACAAATCTACATACAGGTAATTACGATTATCATTAGTATAAACAAAAAAAAAAAGGATAATATACACTATATAATAAAAAATAAACGTTGCAATAAAATATGCTATTTAAAGAAAAATCAGTCTTAAAAATACACACAAATCTATTTACAAAAAATATAAAAAAAACTAGAATAAAGGGAAAAGACAATTGAATCGCATTGTTGAAGTTACTTGATTTGAAAATGCACTGTAAAACTATCCAATTCACGACGACTTGACTGTCCCCAACACACAAAAAAATACCGTTAAGAATTAATTCTGTTTTAACAATCATAAAATGGTTACATTGGCAAAAACGTAGGTATAGTCTATCAGGAAAATCTCGTTGTCAATACTTTTTACAATGAAGCGAAATGTGCCATGTATAGTAAGTTACCAAAAAGCACCTGTATATAATATCCAATACTATGTTATATATGTATATTTGGATTCATTGTATTTTTTTAACTTACAAAGAAATCTGCTTATTCTAATATGCAAAGATAATCTTGTAATTCGTCAAAATTTGTTTAGGTGTGGTCTTGGCGGCATAACTTCTATTTTTGTTTTATTTTTCAGTTGTCATATTTGAAGACATTCCCATGTTAGAGATTTTTGCACTCGTTTCCTTTAGCATTTCTTTCCTTTCGATTATGTGTTTTGTGTTTGTTTCAAATCTAGAATAAAATTACATATGTTTATTAGCATTAGTACATAAAAAATTGCAGTAACATACCTTTGCAACATTTTATGGCGCCTCATTTTCCAAAACAATCACCGTAAGTTCTTCATAATCAGTGGGAGTATCTTCTGTTTTACAGTTACCAAAAACAACAGAAAGACGTACAAATTAAAATGATTACTTTATTAGATATTAACTTACCTAGTGTAAATAAGTACAACCCACACTGAACGGCAGAAATTTTCACAAAACTGTGTTAAAAATGAAGTGAGTAACGGATAGGTACACGAGAAAGTTTCGGTGGTTGAGAACCAAGTGGAAATATTGGAATGCTTCACTGTGAAGTGCAATAAACATAAATACCGAAAAAAGGGAAAGTCCGAATGCACGCCTCAAACATCTGATGTATTGTATGGTAAATACGGAAGTTGAGTATTATTTTTTCATTAGATGAAATAAATTTAATAAAACTAAATATTAATCACCCTTCAATTTTTTTGGTAACCATCATCACTTTATAAACGTCTTTATAAAATCAAAATTCGACGAAAGAATTCTTCAAAACCTTGTCCCGTTTTAGGGACAATGGACAAAGAATTTTTATGACTTTGTTTGTGTCGTAGGGTCTTTTCACTATTATACGCTCAATCCCAGATGTTCTATTATAATTTGCCAAGCAGGTACTTACAAAATACACTTCCAGAGTAAACAAGTTTTCAGAAATAATTATTTTATTAGAAATTATTAGAATGAAAAAACTTGTCTTTGGTGTATTTCTAATAAAGCCATTGTATTTTTTGCTCTAAATATAATTAAGCATTATGAGGGTCACTTTTTAAAGAATACGACGACCCACATCTAAATGATCACAAAATCTATACAAAATGACGAAGAAAGGACGGCCTTTTGACGTCATTAATTGACGTCATAAGTAAGTCATAAAAATCTCGTCATTATCACGTGATTTTTTGGGCGAATGACGTCGACGACGAGTTATGACCAAAAATTGACGTGAATTAGACGACAGTCTGCTGCTTGGGATCAAATTTTCCCACCTAGTCCCAGAACTCCTTTTCCTTTTTTCGCAACTCTTAGACATTTCAAAACAATACCTTCATCCGTTTTTCTACTAATTTTGTACGTTTCCCTTTTTCCGATTTCCCTATCTGCATCCTTTTCCTTTGCCTTGTTTCCTTCCATTTTTCCTCCTTTTCTTTTGGATCTTTACTAAAAATTTTCTACCTTCTTGAGTCTGCCCTCTTCTTGATTCCATTCAAAAATTTTTTTTTTATATCCCATTCTAACCATTTTTCTTTTATTTCTCTCTTTTGTTGCCTCTTCTTTTATTTTGATTTGAATTTTTCTTTCCGTTTTCGTCAGATCATCATTTAAATAAATTGACGACCCTTTTAAGTTCTTGCTTTTCATTACATAAACTTTCTCTGCAATTTTGTACGCGCTTTTAACTTTACTCTCTACTTTGGTTTTCTGTTCTAAAAATTTTGTCACCTTAGATAGATAAATAGATAAGTTTGTTGCACAACAGTACAAACGGTTAGTTAACAGTGTATACCTACTGATAATTAACTTAACTAACCTAAGAAAAACAAATAAAATCATACATCAAACTTAAGATACCTACAATACAAAAGGAACACAAATTTAAAATTTATTAAAAGAAATGCCAAAGTCGGTACCTCGTAAAATATCAAAAATTAGCCGCTTTTTAATAACTTGACTGGACATATCCAGAAATTGATCTAAGTGATTCACAATATAGGGAGACAGATAAAAGAACGAGCAGTCATATGAGTGGGTATATATGAGTGGGTGTAATCAATTGTTTATCAACAAATCTAAGCTCTCTACAGTGAGAATCACTTTTTTTAGACAGTTTAGAGAATAAATAATCCGGCACTTTTTTAGCCAGCACCTTGCTCACAAAAGACACATAATGAATAAAACGTTGTTCATTAAGTTTAAGCTGGCCTAAAGATTGCAAATAGGGTGTTACATGATTAAAACGTGGCACATGGGTCGTAAACCTCACACAGTTATACTGGATTTTTTGTAATTTGTACTTAAGATTTTCGATTAAACATGGACCATAAACTATGTCGCAATACGTCTTGTGAGAAAGAACGAGTGAATTAATCAAAACTAATTTAGAACCTTCATCCAAGATTGTTCTAAGCGGAGCTAGTTGCTTTAACCTAAATAACACATTCTGCAAAGCAGGGAAATGTGTTCAGAAAATTCCAATTTCGAATCTAAAGTAACACCCAGACTTGTTACAGTATTATGACATGGAATTTTGATGTTATTAATAAATAACTCGTGTTGCAGATTCTGAAGTTGATTGGGATTTCCAAATAATATGTTAACACACTTTTTAGAGTTAAGAAACAATGAGTTGCAACCTTTTCAATTATCTGCTTCTGCTCTCCTGTTCCTATTTCCAATCCCTTCATCATTACTTTGTTTTTTCTATTTTCGTTTCCTGTCATCTTTTTATATATTAAGGACACACTTTTTAATAGATCGAGATTTTTTTTAACATTTGCAGAGTGATTATTATTTATTATTCATTATCAGCTATTAGATTAATGGTGCTAGCTGGTGCTAGGTTTTAACTATCCGGAACTCAATTTTCTCCTCGATTTTCCCCGGCATTAAATAATGTCAGATATCAAAGTAAATTCCCTTTGAATCAAAGTAATACAAAATAACACGTAAAACACGTAAAGATAATCTTATGAAATGTATGCGTATGTATAGTGTTTTGTATAAAGTCACATTTCCAGGTGGATCTCTTTGCCATAGAAATTTACAATGGACACATTTACGTTCATTTGGATCTGGGATCAGGTCACTCTAAACAACGAGGGTCGAGAAGAAGAATTGACGATGGCTCCTGGCATGACGTCACATTTCGAAGAACTGGAAGAGACGCTAGAATTACTGTAGATGGATTCCACACGGACTTTAAAACTACAGGTATGTATTAATCTTCTCCGAAACTACTTGAAGGATTGTTGTGCAATATTACATGTATTTTAAATACAAAATATATAATAATGGTCACCGTTTTGTTGTTGTTCATCTTTAAACAGTATTTGTCAGAAAACCACTATTTTTTTTGTACAGTCATAATATCGAAATATAGGAAAAAATACACCTAAATGATATTTCGAATTTATACCAATTACTAAATTTGGTGTTTAATTTTCTGTAGAGGGATCAACTAGTTTGGAACTGGACGGAAATATGTACGTGGGAGGCCTGGGACCACCTTTCTCTGAAATTCCCATCCCAGCTGGTCTCTGGACCGCCGTCCTACAACAAGGGTTTGTAGGATGTTTTAAGGACCTCGTTATGAACAATGATGCCATAGATGTAGCCAGTTACGCCAGAGAACAAGATTCTGGTAAGTTTTTCTTGAAAACTAAATTACATATAACCTTTAGATCCGTCCTTAATTCATATTCACACTCACCACTTCTACGTTAACCCGTCTGTTTTGTTGTAATAATAAAATCTATAATAGCATAATAACACAAAAAACAGTATGTTACAATACAAATGTAAAAAAAACTATGTTTTAGGTTCCATTCGAACACTTTGTCATACTCAGCCGCAGCAGTGTCCGTCTCAGCCTTGTTTAAATGGAGGAATTTGTACCGAAGGGTGGAACAGATTTGTATGTGACTGTACTAATACAATGTTTAGTGGTCCTACGTGTGGCAAAGAAGCTGCAACTCTTAGTTTTAACGGTACGCAACACATGGAAGTCGTCATGGACTCAGAAATGATTACTCAGACAGAAGATATTGTATTAAGATTTCGTACCAGCAAACCTCTAGGCTTATTATTGATTAGTAGTACTGTAGAAACTGGCGACAGAATAGAATTAGCCGTAGCTGCAGGACGTATCAGAATGGCACTTAGATTAGGGGTTAAAGACAAAAAGCAAGAAGATCGAGAAAAAGATAAGGTTTTGTTAACCAATGTATAGTACCAGTAGAGTATATATTAATTTTGTATTTTATTTGTAGATACTTCTTGCCGGTCAAAACGTTAATGATAATGAATGGCACACTGTAAGATTTTCAAGAAGAGGAGCAAATTTGAAATTGCAACTTGATGGACAGTCACCGATAAGAGCAGAAACTCAAGGGAAATATAATACTTTACAGTGGCGCTCTATTCACGTCGGAGGTTTATATCATTTGGAAGAAGAAATCAGCATGACAACGACTGTACCAAATTTCATCGGGGAAATTCAACAGTTTTACTTTAACAATATTCCTTACATTGAACTAGCACGTGCCTTGAGCAGTGAGCAATCAATATCAGGTTTCCCTGCAATTAAAATCGCTGCAAAATTTGTTAAACATGCAACGGATAATCTTCACAGACCAGTGACTTTCCGCTCGAAACACACTTTTATTGGTCTTCCTATGTTAAGAGCATATTCTAGTATACATATCGACTTCATGTTTAAAACGCGTGAAGCAAACGGTTTAATTATGTTTAACGGAGGAAGGAAAGAGGATTTTGTGGCAGTTGAACTTGTAGATGGTCACATTAACTATATTGTTAATGTTGGAGATGGTACAGTAACGCTACGAGACACAGTCAGATCTCACTTAAACGACAATCGTTGGCATACTGTGGGTATAAGACGACCCTCAGTTAAGCAACATACACTTATGGTGGACGACGACATCGTTATAGCAACAAATCATGGCACTGGCAACTTAGAACTAGATGGAATTTTATACCTTGGAGGGGTTCATAAAGATTTATACGCACAACTGCCCCAAGAAGATGTAAAATCGAGGCATGGATTTGAAGGATGTATAGCAGGTTTAGATTTAAATGGAGAATCTCCTAATATCATGGAGGATGCAGTTGTCCACAGTTCTTTGGTTACAGCAGGATGTGAAGGTAACTAAACACTAGAGCTGTTCAAATTACTCAAAAAAAGTACTTGAAGTACCAAGTCCAAAGTACTACTTGAAATAGTGTTCCAGTAAAGTACCAAGTACTTACTTTCAGCAAGAGAATTTCAAGTATCAAGTACTTTTCAGATGTACTTGAAGTACTGGAGGTATACTTCAAGTACTTACAAATACTTGAAGTACTGAAAATGCTTCAAGTACTTTCTAATTATTTGAAATACTGTAGAATTAGATAACTTTTCCTGTTTTTTTAAAAAAGCTTAATATATTTTAGAACTGAATTTTTTAATACTCAGAATTTAAGTATACAATAGTACATATTTCGCCACATAAAAAATTGCATAAGCATGAAGAACGAGTACTGAATCATTTCTCAAATATTTTCAAATCCGACCTTGCACTTTAGCAGGTACGTCAGCAAATCCGACCCCCTTTGGGGTACCGGGAAGGTACTGAAAAACTACCCGCAAAGTTAAGTTCCAGACCAAAATACAAAAAAGACAAAATTCATATATTCACAACTTTACATCGCTGAAAATTTTACACAGATCTCCGACCCTTCTGCTGTCGTCATCCACTCTCAAATGACATAATTATGACATTCATTTTCTTATGCAAGTACCTATGAAATGTACAATCGCACGCAAATGTTTTGAGCCTATGGGCGGATCATTTTTGCCTGCCCTCACCGAAGAAGGCGGTCCAAATCCTTCAAGGGCAGAATTTGTAGGTAGGCTCAAACTACAACGAAATTTACATTTGGTAAGAAGTATTTATGGCTCACACCAGTTCTCTCAAATTTGTCGGAGAAGATTTAGCAGGTAGTTGTTTCCATAAAATAATGGTCACTTTCGTTCGTGAGTAACGATGGTCCGGACAGGAATTATTTTGCTTTCTAACATCTTTCGTATAAAAAATGTCATCACTTTTTCCAATAAAATACTCTTAAATGTTCATAATAAATAAATAAATAAAAAAAAAACGATATTGTCGAGTGTCCCCTCTAAAAAATTTATGACGTCACCTCAAAATTTTGCAGAATAAATCCTATCTTAAATGTATAAAATATGATGAGTTTTTATACTTGTGATTTATCACTGCATTAATATTTTTTAGATTTGGTTATACAGGGTGTCTCAAAAAAGTTAATGACTGAGTCAATTTATTTTATTGAAGAAATCAAGAATAGCAAAATTGAATGCTTTGAAATATTGTAGATGTTTTGAAGTTTTTGTAAGCATGGCAACTTTTTCGAAAATTTGATTATAATGCGGAAAATCAAAAATCGGAAAAAATGAAATTCACAAATGCAAAAAACAGAAAATCGAAAAATACGAATCGTAAAAATCAAACAAATAAAATGGCTAATTAAAAAATCGAAAATTCAATGAATCAAATACCTAGGTCGATCGAAAAGTGGAAATTCACAAATCTCAAAAATCGAAAAATCGAAAATTGAAAAACGGGAAAACCAAAAAATCGAAAAGTAATATTGAAAATTAAAAAAATCAAAAACAAAAATAAAAAAATTCGGAAATTAAAATAATCAATATATATGAAGTAGAAAAAATTGCAAAGCCTAAAAACTGAAACGAACAGAAAAATCGAAAAAGCAAAAAATTGGAAAAACAAAAATTCGAAAAATCTAAAATCGAAAAAGTGGAAAATCGAAAATCTGAATAAAGAAACTTGCAAATTCTGAAAATTGGAAAATCGAAAACCAAAAAATCGGGAAGTAACAAAATTGAAGTCTAACAGTTGAGAATAGAAAAATTGAAAAACCGAAAATTATAAAAATCGACAATGGACAAATTGAAAATCGCAAAATTTAAATTGAAAAATTGAACATGGAAAAATCGATGAATTGAAAAATCGAAAATTCGACTACTCAAATTTTCTAAAAATCGAAAAATCATAAAACTCAAAAATCCAAAATTCTAATGATCGAAAGTCTGAAAACTGAAAATCGAAAATTCTGAAAAGCGGAAAACAGAATATTGAAAAATTTAAAAGAAAGAAAATTGAAGTCTAAAAACCGAAGAATGGAAAAATTAAAAATCAATAATTCGAAAAATCAAAACCGAAAAATTCAAAGATTTAAAAAGAAAATCGAAAAATCAAAAATCTGAAAATTGAAACTCGAAAATTTGGAAAATCGAAAAGTAAAAAAATTGAAGTCTAAAAGCTGAAAAATGGAAAACTGAACAATCGAAAATTCGAAAATCAAATATCGAAAAATCGAAAAGCCGAAAAATCGAAAATTTGATAAATCAGATATGCGAAAAACAGAAAATCTGAAAATACAAAACTGGAAAATCAAAAATCTTAAAATGGAAAAATCGAAAATTCAATGAATCTAATACGTAGGTCGATCGAAAAACTGGAAATTCACAAATCTGAAAAATCGAAACTTTGCAAGATTGGAAAACCGAGAATTGAACAATCAAAAAACCGAAAAATGGAAAAATCAAAAATCGAAAAATAGGAAAACCGAAAATTCGAAAATTCATAATATTGAAAACTCTAAAAGTCGACAATTCAAAAATCAAAAAATTGGAATGTAAAATAATCAAAAATCGAAAAGTAAACAAATTGCAAAGCCTAAAAACTGACGAACAGAAAAATCGAAAAATCGTAAAATCAAAAAGTGGAAAATTGAAAACTGAAAAATGGAAAATCGGAATATCGAGAATCGACAAATTAAAAAACCGAAAAATCGAAAAATTAAAAAATCGGAAATCGAAAAATGAAAAAAAAATAACCAAAATTCAAAAATCGAATAATCCAAAACTAAAATAATAGAAAAGTGGAAAAGTAAAAATTGCAAAGTCTCAAAATTGACGAACATAAAAATCGAAAAATCAAAAAAAATCGAAAAATATCTAAAAATGAAAAATCGGAAAATGGAAAAACCGAAAAATCGAAAATAGAAAACCCGAAAAATCGAACATTCGATGAAACAAATACTCGAAAAAGCGAAAAGTAAAAAAAATTGCAAGGCCTAAAAATTGAAAAATCAAAAAATCGGAAAAATGAAAATCGAAAAAACGACGATCGAAAAAAAATAAAAAAATCGAAAAGTGGAAAATCGGAAAGTAACAAAATTGAAATCTAAAAGCTGAGAAGGGAGAATTCTAAAAAGCAACAATCGAAAAAAGCAAAATTAAAAATTGAAAATTTGAAAAATGGAAAATCGAAAACTCGAATATCGAGATTTTGAAAAATCGTAAAAAAGATAATCGAAAAATCGAAATGCTCAAAAATCGAAAATTCGATTAATCAATATTCTAAAAATCGAAAAAACGGACACAAATCTGAAAAATCGAAAATCGAAATATGAAAAATTAAAAAACCGAAAAATTGAAAAATCCCAAATCGAAAAATGGAAAAACCGAAAATTCAAAAATCAAACTATCGGAAAGTAAAATAATCGAAAAATGGAAAAATAAAACAAATTGCAGAACCATAAAAACTGAAACAAACAGAAAAATCCAAAAACCACAAAAGCGGAAAAACGAAAATCGAAAAATCGTAAAATCAGAAAATGGAAAATCGGATAATCGAAAGTTGAAAAATCGAAGGTCGAAAAATAAAACAACCGAAAAATGGAAAATTTAATGATTAATGGAAAATCGAAAAATCGAGAATAGAAGAATTAAAAAACCGGAAAATTGAAAAATCGAGAATTCAAAAATCAAAAAAATCGGAAAGTAAAATATAATCGAAAAATGCAAAAAAATTGCAAAGTCTAAAAGCTGACGAACAGTAAAATCCAAAAATCTAAAAATGGAAAGACGAAAAATCGAAAATTGAAAGAATGGCAAATCAAAAAATCGAGACATCGAAAAATCAAAAAATCGAAACATCGAAAAATCAAAAAAACGAAAAATTAAAAAATCGAAAAACGAAAAAACTGAAAACTCGAAAATTCAAAATACCGCAAACTTGAAAAATCAGAAAATTGGAAAGTAATAAAATCGAAAAGTTGATAGAAAAATGGAAACTGAAAAATCTAATTCGATGAAACTGTTGGTCGAAAAAACGAAAAATCGAAAATCGAAGTGATCTTTTTTTGAGACAGGCTGTATAAGTAAATCTAAAAAATATTACTGCAATGATAAATCACAGGTATAGACTCATCATATCAAATTTTACGATGACGTCATGCATTTTTTGGCGAAGATAAGCAAATACATTTTGATCGTGGCTTTGAAAGTATTCTTCGACTTTCGTTCCAATTCAAAATTTACTCTTTGTATATTTCAGTGGTACGGATTAAATAAAGCGTCAAATATGATTGATAAACTTTAAACCAAAATTATGAAGTTTATAAACTGAACATTTTTTTTGCTTTTTGAAATGTAATACACTTCAAAAAATGTCCATGACTTACTTTAATATGAATTTTATAACTATGGTCGGCACAATTAGACCTAATATTAATGTGATTTTGAGCATATTCTCGATGTTATTAGAGCAGGACAGGTTTTTTTTTTCTAACTAATTGACAAGATTTCTATGTATTCAGTTTTGCAATTCTTAATTTCTTCAATAAAATAAATTGACTCAGTCATTATTTTTTTTGAGTCACCCTGTATGTATAAACAAATCCAAAAAATATTAATTGAATGGTAAATCAAAAAGTATAGACTCATCATATTCTGAACATTTTAGATAGGGTATTTATAAAATTAAAAGTAATTCAGAGTAAGTATTTATAAAATTAAAACTAATTCAGGGTAAGAATTTGGTCAACACGTAAATTTCGTTGTAGTTTGAGCCTACCTACAAATTCTGCCCTTGGACGATTTGGACCGCCTCCTTCGGTGACGACAGGTGAAAATGATCCGCCCATAGGCTCAAAACATTTGCGTGCGATTGTACGTCCTATTGTGGATAAGATATCCACAATCACAGATGAAGATATAACCTCACAGGAAACAAACACGATTTTACTATAAAAATACATCTAATCAAATAATTGAATTAATAACTTCAAGTATTTAACAGACCCTCTTTTGAGATGTGAAAACTTCGTAAAATAGAGACTAAAGTATTTGAAATTTCCACTTTCATACTTCAAGTTATTCAAGAGTATTTAAAATACTGAGTGAAGTACTTGGAGTAAAGTACTTGGCAAAATCAAGTACTAAACTCAAGTACATTTTAGAAATACTCCAAGTACCAAGTACCGAGTACCTAAATATAAAAGTACTTCAAGTAAAGTACTTCAAGTACTTAAAGTACTTGAAGTATTACTTCAAGTACTTTTACTTGAAGTACTGAACAGCTCTGCCTAAACACATCTTTATTTGTTCTTGTTATTTTAATTTCTTCTTTAGGTCAGTCTGCTAAATGTAGCCACAATGTTTGTGCCAATGGTGGAGTTTGTGTTCAACAGTGGCATTCTTATACGTGCGATTGTGACATAACATCTTTCACAGGACCTACATGTTCCGATGGTATCTTTTAATAGTTACATACATATGTATGTACCAATAAAAATAACTCTTTTTGTAGAATCTGTTTCCTATGAATTTGGTCCTAATCGAGGTATAATTACATACACGTTTCCTGAAGATAATAGACCCGAAATGCAAGAGGATATAATCGCCTTCGGATTTATCACTACAAAAGCAGACGCTGTATTACTACGAATAGTTAGTGGAACATCAAATGATTACATTGAAATGGAAATTGTAAACAATTTAATCATTTAATTGTAGTACTTTCTAGAAATTCGGATATTTTTAGGTTGAAGGAAACGTTTTTGTTGTGTATAATTTGGGCACAAATGATCATCCTCTTGGTGAAATTTCGTTGAAAGTTAACGATAACACATACCACGTAGTAAGATTTCATAGATTAGGTTATAATTCGTCCCTTCAAATCGACGATTATAATGTTCAAACCAGTCATCCTTCCGGTATTTTAGAGTACCAAGTATTGGTTTATGTAAATTAAAATAAATCTTGTAGGACATCAACTACAAGTTTTCAATAGTCAGTCCCAAATTCAAATCGGTGGTAAATGGAGCAAAGGAAAATCAAGAATAGAACGACCATTTTCGGGAATTATGTCTGGAGTTGTAGTCAATGGACTTAGGGTTTTAGATCTGGCAGCGGAAAAAGATCTGCACACATCGATTAGAGGTGATGTCCAGCTCATTTCTGGGATTTTAGATCGGCACGACCATTTACAAAAAATGCAACAGGTACGTACATTAATTTTTTATTCCATTTTTTGCTTTGTTAGTTTTCGGTTTGTAATCGGAAAATTATATCATTGAAACAATTAAGAATGCAAAAATTTTAAAATAAAAAATCCAAAAATTTCAAAATGAAAATCTAGAAACTAAAAAATCTAGACAACGAAGAATTGAAACATTGTAAAAACATAGAAAAATTAAAAATAAAACAGCAAAATCGGTAATTGAAAAATTGGAAAAACGAAAAAATAAAAAATCCCGAAATTGAAACGTCGAAAAATCGAAAAACGAAGCAATTTTGCAATGTTTCAGTTTTAAAGTTTTCAAGTTCTTGATTTCCAATTTTTATCAAAATAAAATTTTGCAAAATCGAATAACTCTAACACTGAAACATTAAAAAATGCAACAATTAAAAATCGAGTAATTGAAAAATCGGTAAAACGTAACACTTCTGCAATTTTTGGATATAATATTTTTCAAATTCTCAATTTTCCATTTTTTAATTGTTCAACAAAAGGACAAATTGATTCAAACTGAACTTTTGCAAAACCGAAAAATTGTAACACTGAAACATCAAAAAAAAAAATTAAACATGGAGAAATTGAAAAATTCTCAATTTTTAATTCTTTGTTTTCTCGATTTGTCATTTTTTTAATTGTTCAACAAAAGGACAAATTTATTCAAACCGAAATTTTGAAAAGTTTAAAACTTAAAAATCAGAAAATTGTTACATTGAAACGTCTAAAAATTATTAAATTGAAAAATCAAAAAAATTAAAACTTGAGAAGTCGAAGAATTGAAAAAATTAAGAAAAATTGAAAAAACCGGCAAGATGAGAATCTAAAATTGAAAAATGAAACTTGAAATATGGAAAAATTTTAAAATTGAAAAATCGAAAAATTGTAATATAGAAACCTGAAAACCCTGATTAATTGAAAATCGAGAATTGGAAAAATTGAAAAAACGAAAAAAAAAAATTCTATAAATTTAAATAATCGAAAATACAAAAATTTTTTATTTCAAAATCCAAAGATTTTAAAATGAAACTTGAAATATCGAAAAATTGAAAAATCGAAAAACGAAAAAATTGAGGAATTGAATTGGATAATTGACAAATCGAACAATGTATAATATCGAAACTTTAAAACCCTAATTAATAAAAAATCGACAAATTGAAAAATCTACAAAACGAAGCAATTCTGCAATTTTTCGATATAAAAATTTTCAAATTCTGAATTTTTAATTTTTCATTTTCTCGATTTTTCATTTTTTAATTGTTCAACAAAGGACAAATTTATTCAAACCGAAATTTTGAATTGAACTGAAAAATCAAAAATTGAGAAATCGAAGAATTGAAAAAATAAAAAAAACTTGAAAAAACCGAAAAGAATGAGACTTAAAAACTGAAAAATGAAATTTGAAATATCGAAAAATTTAAAAATTGAAAAATCGAAAAATGAAAAAAATTGAGAAATTGAACAATGGGATAATCGAAAAAACAATTAAAAAATCGAATAACTCTAATATTGAAACTTGAAAACCCTAATTATTTAAAAATCGAGAAAGTGAAAAACTGAAGAAACGAACATATAAATTAAACAATCAAAAATACAAAAAAAAAAAAATTCAAAAATCAAAAATTTTAAAATGAAAACCGGAAAACTAAAAAATTAAGAAATTGTAAAAACGAAACATGGAAAAATTAAAAAATTGTAACATCGAAAAAACGAAACACTAAAAACGGAAAAATTTAAAAGTTGAGAAATCGAAGAATTGAAAAAATACAGAATCGGAAAATGGAAAAGCCAAAACTTGAATAATAAAATCGACAATAATTATTTTTGAAAAAGTGAAAAATTAAAAATCGGCAAATTTAAAAATGAAACAATTACATAATTGTAAATAAAAAAAATCAAAAATGGAAAAATTGAACATTAAAAATTGAAAAATCAAACTTGAAATATCGAAAAATTTAAAAAATTGACAAACTGAAAATTGGGTAACGAAAAAATAATTAAAGAATAGAACAACTGAGAAAAAGATAGAAACTGTAAAATCGAAAATTTGTAACATTGAAACCTGAAAAAGTGATAAATTAAAAATATAGGAATCGAACAATCGAAAAAACCAAAAATTGTTAAATTCAGCAGACAGGAAATCGAAAAATTAAAAAACAAATTAGAAAATTGAAAAATTAAAACATCTACAAATTAAAAAATCGAAAAATAAAAAAATTTTACTAAAAAATGTAACAATTTCATAATGAAAATCGAAAAACTAAAAAATGGAGAAATCGAAACACGGAAAAATCGAAAAATTAGCAATTAAGAAAACGAAGAATATAAAAATGTTGAATTGAAAAATCAAAAAATGGAAGAAACAAAATAATTTGAAATTATGTACCTACTTGGAAGTACTTTATTTTTAATTTTTCATTTTCTCGATTTTTCATTTTTTAATTGTTCAACAAAGGACAAATTTATTCAAACTGAACTTTTGAAAAACCGAAACATCAAAAACAAAATAATTAAACATCGAGAAATTTAAAAAATCAACAAAAAGAAACAATTTTTCAGTTTTTCGATATAAAATTTTTCAAATTCTCAATTTTTAATTCCTTGTTTTCTCGATTTGTCATTTTTTTAATTGTTCAACAAAAGGACAAATTTATTCAAGTCGAAATTTTGAAAAGTTTAAAACTTTAAAAATCAGAAAATTGTTACATTGAAACGTCTAAAAATTATCAAATTGAAAAATCAAAAAAATTGAAACTTGAGAAGTGGAAGAATTGAAAAAACCGAAAAAATGAGAATCTAAAATTGAAAGATGAAACTTGAAATATGGAAAAATTTTAAAATTGAAAAATCGAAAAATTGTAATATAGAAACCTGAAAACCCTGATTAATTGAAAACCGAAAATTTGAAAAACTGAAAAAACGAAAAAAAATCTATAAATTAAATAATCGAAAATACAAAAATTTTTAATTTCAAAATCCAAAGATTTTAAAATGAAACTTGAAATATCGAAAAATTGAAAAATCGAAAAACGAAAAAATTGAGGAATTGAATTGGATAATTGAAAAATCGAAAAAAATATCGAAACTTTAAAACCCTAATTAATAAAAAATCGACAAATTGAAAAATCGACAAAACGGAGCAATTCTGCAATTTTTCGATATAAAAATTTTCAAATTCTGAATTTTTAATTTTTCATTTTCTCGATTTTTCATTTTGTAATTGTTCAAGAAAGGACAAATTTATTCAATCCGAAATTTTGAATTGAATTGAAAAATCAAAAATTGAGAAATCGAAGAATTGAAAAAATAAAAAAAACTTGAAAAAACCGAAAAGAATGAGACTTAAAAACTGAAAAATTAAATTTGAAATATCGAAAAATTTAAAAATTGAAAAATCGAAAAATGAAAAAAATTGAGAAATTGAACAATGGGATAATCGAAAAAACAATTAAAAAATCGAATAACTCTAATATTGAAACTTGAAAACCCTAATTATTTAAAAATCGAGAAAGTGAAAAACTGAAGAAACGAACATATAAATTAAACAATCAAAAATACAAAAAAAAATTTAAAAAATCAAAAATTTTAAAATGAAAACCGGAAAACTAAAAAATTAAGAAATTGTAAAAACGAAACATGGAAAAATTAAAAAATTGTAACATCGAAAAAACGAAACACTAAAAACGGAAAAATTTAAAAGTTGAGAAATCGAAGAATTGAAAAAATACAGAATCGGAAAATGGAAAAGCCAAAACTTGAATAATAAAATCGACAATAATTATTTTTGAAAAAGTGAAAAATTAAAAATCGGCAAATTTAAAAATGAAACAATTACATAATTGTAAATAAAAAAAATCAAAAATGGAAAAATTGAACATTAAAAATTGAAAAATCAAACTTGAAATATCGAAAAATTTAAAAAATTGACAAACTGAAAATTGGGTAACGAAAAAATAATTAAAGAATAGAACAACTGAGAAAAAGATAGAAACTGTAAAATCGAAAATTTGTAACATTGAAACCTGAAAAAGTGATAAATTAAAAATATAGGAATCGAACAATCGAAAAAACCAAAAATTGTTAAATTCAACAGACAGGAAATCGAAAAATTAAAAACAAATTAGAAAATTGAAAAATTAAAACATCTACAAATTTAAAAATCGAAAAATAAAAAAATTTTACTAAAAAATGTAACAATTTCATAATGAAAATCGAAAAACTAAAAAATGGAGAAATCGAAACACGGAAAAATCGAAAAATTAGCAATTAAGAAAACGAAGAATATAAAAATGTTGAATTGAAAAATCAAAAAATGGAAGAAACAAAATAATTTGAAATTATGTACCTACTTGGAAGTACTTTATTTTTAATTTTTCATTTTCTCGATTTTTCATTTTTTAATTGTTCAACAAAGGACAAATTTATTCAAACTGAACTTTTGAAAAACCGAAAAATTCTAACACTGAAACATCAAAAACAAAATAATTAAACATCGAGAAATTTAAAAAATCAACAAAAAGAAACAATTTTTCAGTTTTTCGATATAAAATTTTTCAAATTCTCAATTTTTAATTCCTTGTTTTCTCGATTTGTCATTTTTTTAATTGTTCAACAAAAGGACAAATTTATTCAAACCGAAATTTTGAAAAGTTTAAAACTTTAAAAATCAGAAAATCGTTACACTGAAACGTCTAAAAATTATCAAATTGAAAAATCAAAAAAATTAAAACTTGAGAAGTGGAACAATTGAAAAAACCGAAAAAATGAGAATCTAAAATTGAAAAATGAAACTAGAAATATGGAAAAATTTTAAAATTGAAAAATCGAAAAATTGTAATATAGAAACCTGAAAACCCTGATTAATTGAAAACCGAAAATTTGAAAAACTGAAAAAACGAAAAAAAATCTATAAATTAAATAATCGAAAATACAAAAATTTTTAATTTCAAAATCCAAAGATTTTAAAATGAAACTTGAAATATCGAAAAA